CTCTCTCTCTCTCTCTCTCTCTCTCTCTCTCTCTCTCTCTCTCTCTCTCTCTCCCTTTTTTTTCCAAATATAGTCAATCAGGTCACAAAGATGGAGTTCCCAGGAGTCACAGTAATTTTAAAAGGATTTCAGATGCACTAGATGCAGAACACTCCTCAAGTATTTGATTAGTGATTCTCTAGGACATTCCTTTTCTAGTGGAAATGTTTTTAGGGTAATAGGATTTCCAAAATATAATTTAAACTTACAGTTATCGTCTGAAATATAACTTCTATTTTGTATTTTTTATAAATTGTTATAAAATGCCTGCCTCGTTTAAGAACTCTGTAATTTTCTTTTCAATACAGAAACTTTTATTCCAAAGTGGAGCACATTTTTTAAAAATGTGTAATTGATTTGATTGACAGTAGAACCCCCAGAGCCCAGTTGGAGAGATACATTTGACAATTTTGCTTAATCTGTTTGTCCAGGGTGAGGCAGGTTGTCACAGTTTCTCAAAAGAGTTTGTATTAAGCCACTTTTAATATTATTCCAGCCCAGTGTGCATGTGTAATTGGTCTCATTTCTATTCTAGCTGCCTAATGACACGAGGAGTTCAGATTCAGTTACTACAGGCTGACTCTGTTTACAGATTGCTATGACTTTGTATAAGAATAGCTGGATTATTTCAGCATCAGAGCATCCACAAAGTATATTGCCTAGTGATACTTTTCCATTGATCTATAGACACCATCAACATTTCCCATTCAAACTCTTAATTATATTTCCATGATAAATTCTGTTTACCTCTTCCTAAATTAGAAACCAACCTATAGAAAATAAATTTTAAAATAATTTTGTAGAAAGTTCAATTATATTAGCAATCTACTAGCTTTTTGAACATCATAATTTTAAAAATTACTTCTCTTTATAATTCTTTTGTGGACACTGTTTGCCATGTATTTTATTTTACCTCATAATCAGTAATTCCTTTAAAGGTTTGCTTGAAGAAAATGATTGTAGTACTATAAAGCTTTTTTGAAAATAATACATGAGACAGCACAATGGTGCATGCCTGTAATCCCAACTCTTGGGAGGCTGTAAACAGGCGGATCACTATGAGTCTGACCTAGTAGTGAGCCCCTGAACACCCTATAGACTCTTCCCTAAAAAAAAATACAAGAAAGAAAGAAATGAAAAGAAAAGAATACATTAAAAAGTACTTTCTAAGACCAGGCACAGTGACCTACACCTGTAGTCCTAGCTACTCAGGAGACCCAAGGCAGAAGGATTGCAAGTTTAAGGCCTTCTCTCAAAAAAACAAAAAAACAAAAATTAAAAAGCAGCATGAGAGTAGTTTAGTGGTAGTGTTTGGCTAGCATGTGTGAGCTTGAGTTCAGTTCCCAGCACCAAAAAAGAAAAACAAAACAAAAAAAACATGACCTCATGGAAATTTAAAATGAAATTTAATTTGTCATATTTTTTTTTCCTGTTGAGAATTAAATATTGGAACTTGTAGTAGTGATACTATTCTAGCAATAAGGAACAAGGTGATCACAGGGGAAAGACATTAAACCTCTTGCATTTCCTGTGCTTAGTAATCTAAGATGCAAAAAGAAACTACTATCCCCCAACAGTTTCAGGAGGAGGAGGACTCAGGTGGAGCTTGTTCTAAAGTTATGTTGGTTTGTACTGATACCTTCACAGAGATTCAAAACCAAGAAAGCACCTTTGTGCAGAGGTAATTGTATGCCTGCCTTTCTTCATTCTGTGCTGTGGGCACTGAACAATATATAGCTTTTGTTCTTTCTCTAAAAAGGTGTTGGAGCCCCTCCCAGTCCTGGGGTAGCTAGGAGAGAGATGGAAGGTAACAAGACTTTTGCATTATAGAGATGGTTCTCTCGTTTGATTTCTAAATGTCAGCCACTCCAGTGTTTAAAAGTGTATTAAATCTTTTCTTACTCCCACTGTAAACTTCTCCCCTACCCTCCTGATGTATACCTTTCATTTCATTCTCATTCTTTTTGTGTATGGTTCCTAAAAGCTGTCAGTTTAATTTCCTGAGACACATAACAGTATGTTGTTTGTACTGTCATCAATATTTCATGTCTATTGAGGTTGTGAAATTGCTAAGAATGTCTTCAGTTTTTTTCAGACTAAGTCACATATTTAGAAATTCTCTTTACTAATCTGAAGTTTTAAAAATTAGTAACAAATTACTGAAAATTAGGTCCAAAAAAAGAGTATTTGTGGGTGATTTCAAGTAACATAAGTGTTCTTCTGTGTCTGTCAGTACAAAGCTGGATTTGTTTCATATAATGACCATACCTGAATTAGTTTTTAAAAGGAAAATTAATCTTAAGATGCTCGTTGTTAGTTTTTCTGCTCCTTTTGTCCCTAAGAATTTCAGGCACAGTTTAATATGATTTTCTATAAGGTGAATATTTTATAAGATGTGTACATTCCTGTCTTCTATCTTAATCATATTTTATTATAGAAATCAAATAATTTTGTAAAATAACTATTGACAGCAATACTGCAGCAGTCCCCTTAGGAGCCTCTTATATAACTTGAATTCTCCAGCCTTCCTGTTGCATAGAGCCACTGGTTCCCAGCCCTGAGGAACAGAAGTTACGATGGTAACATCTTGCGACCATTCCCACAGCTGACGTTTTCAAGGTTCATGGAGAGGGCTCTATGAGGGCTGTTGTCTGAAAGTTACCCTGAGTGAGGCATCAGACTAAGAGCTATTCTCATCTCCCAGGAATGTTCCTCTAAGTATTCTAGCTTTTTTCTCTTTGGAATATTTCATTCAGGACCAACAATAGCCCTTGTCCTTATCCAAAGCTAAGGGCTGTGATTTGTTACCATCTCAGGCCCCCACTTCTGCTGATGACACTGATGTTATATAATACTGCTTTATTGCTTATTTATGACTAATTTTTTTCCTTCCTGCTTCCAAGCACCCAAAAGCCCTGGAACAACACGGAAAGAAAATATAGGTAAAAACACTTAAATGTAGTTACTTAAAAACTGGACCATGAATTAGACACCTGGAATATACATATGGCCTATGTCTTTGGTTTTGTATTTGTATTCGTTTTTCTTTTTTATTTTATACTTAAACATAGGATATAATGTCTTTGTTCCAGGACGCAATCAGCCTTCACCTCAAGCAGGATTTGCAGTCCCAGGTCCTGCTGGACCCAGTACAGCCAGACCGGTAGGTGACACTGAACCTGGGAGCTGTGGAGTCCTGGCTCTAGGTTCCAGTTTGCTACTAATTAGTTTTGTTACATGGGAGAAGGCATTTGATCCTTTAACACCTCAGCTTCCTCGGCTCTAAAAGGAGGGAACTGATGATCCCTAAGGTACCTTTTTTTTAATCCCTAAGGTACCTTTTCACTGCTAATATTATTTTGCTGTTCTTCAAAATAACTGAGCTGTTTTTTGGATAAAAATTGATATGCTTTAAATAATTATAGTCACGAAATAAATGAGATGCTTTACACTAACACTAAGTAATTAGTGTAGACATCGAGTCATCCATCCATAGAAAGGATTTTAATTAGCAGAAAGATATGGTATAGTTAGTACACTAATATTGGTTCTGAAAGTATTAAAAATAGGAAAGCAAACTGTTTAAAAGATTTTTCCTTTGTTCTATGATCTGTACTTTGTGTATGTTTATCATGTTTTGTTTATACACATATTTTTCCATTGTTTATCCAAATGAAATTTTTCTCTGGGCTATAATAGCCAAAAAGAGAAAGAGAGAATAGAAACCAGTAATCAGTAATTTAAACCAGTCTGATATAGTAATGCATATATTGAAGAATTCAGAGCTATCACACTACCAAAACTTAGAATTGTGGAAGGTACAAGTATTAACATACTTGTACAGGCCATTAATTTGTAACAATAGTGTTCTGGTATACTCTTCATTTGGAATCATAAATTGTTGAAGAGTTTTATTTCTATGTTTAAAAATATTAAGAGTGGTTTTTCTGAAGTCTCTTAGTTGCTCAGGCACAAATCTCTCCATCTTCTCATGTCCTTTAAAATTGTCCCTATCCCACAACTGAGTGGTGGTGCATGCCTATAATCCCACCACTCAGAAAGCTAAGACAGGAGGATCACCATGAGTTCGAGACCAGCCTGGGCTACACAGCAAGTTCACAGTCTGGAAAACATAGCAAGACCCTGTCTTAAAAAACCAAATTAAAGGTGTCTCTGTGTCTTCCTTGAAGGCAACACTGCATATGCCCAGGAGTCTTTGACCCACACCTCATCAGACTTGAGTCAGATCCTGGCTCATGATAAAAATAGTACCTGCCTAAAATAGGAATTATGAAATAATATCTGAGGGCTTTAAAAAAAAAAAAAAAAAAAACTCCATACCTATACAGTGCTCAATAGTGCCCTCCATACAGAAATAAAAAGGAAGATTTCAAAAATTTACCACTGTGTGGCTTCAAATTAAAATGTCAAGATGGGGAATGCTGCCAGAGAGGAGAGTAAATGAGATGCAAAAGCAGATATTTCATAGGATCTTGCATATTGAAAATAAATGTCACATTCTCAAGTGTGGCATTTCCCTTTTCAGACAATTCCACCCCGGGCTGGAGTTATCAGCGCCCCCCAGAGTCATGCGCGGGCATCTGCTGGAAGACTGACTCCAGAAAGCCAAAACAAGCCACCAGAGGCATCAAAAGGTATACACTGTATTAGAAATCCCATTTGGGGCTGGACATAGGGGTACAGGCCTGCAGTCTCAGCACTTGGGAGGCTGAGGCATCAGGGTTAAAGGGAGATCAAGGGCTGCCTGGACTACATAGTGAGTTCAAGGCAAGCTTGGAGTACATAGCAAAACCCCGTCTCAAAAAAAAAAAAGGAAAAAAAAATCCCACTTGGGTTTTATATTTTTTCCATTTTCTTTCCTTTTTGTTTTTACCGTCATTCATCTGCCACCTCCCACAACTGGATCCAATAGGGACATCCTTTCTTCTTTGTTCCACAAGAAATGAGACTACTTACTGGGGAGCAGGCAACTAGAATGTCTTCCTAACATTTCATGGAAGAAAGAAACACCATGGTTTTCTGGAGTACAGTTAACCTCTGCTCATCACTGTTTTTAGGCTCAACTTTCCTTCCAGAACCACTGAAGCCTCAGGCTGCTTTTCCTGTGCAGCCATCTCTGCCCCCACCTGCTCAAAAGTTACAAGAGCCTCTCATCCCCATGGCAGCATCTGTGCCTCAGCCTGGCCCTCAGCCAAATTTGGAAACCCCCCCTCAACCCCCACCTCGGAGCAGGTCCTCCCACAGCTTGCCTTCAGAGTCTTCGCCACAACTGCAAGTAAGTTCCATTGTTTGCTGCTGTCTTTGCACATGGCGTGCAGACTTGAAACACATTTCTTTTAATGATTAGATTTCCTAAGAAATAAATAATGAATTCTAGTTTTCTTATTTGTGCTGTTTGGTATTTACAACATCTGAGATGTAAGTTCAACAATGAGTATCTCAGACTAATCACATACATTTGGCTCTTTGAAGGTTTTAGAGTGTTGTTATGTGTGGCTTACATCAAAAATTCTCAGAGAGTAACCCTAGGCCAGAGATCCTGGGGCATTTTCAAGTGGTTTTTCATGTTGATGCTAATTTTGTGACTTTTAAAAATATTTAAAGATCATAATTTAGATATTTAAAAAATATTAAGATGAACAAGAATAATTTACCTTTCTTACTGCTCACAATAATAAATTAGTCTTGGCTTTTACCTCTTGGAGAGAGATTAGATCATAGACATTAGCATGGTAGTTGATTTCCAATAAACAGATAATAATTCTTAGTTCCTCTTCATGTGAGTAGTAGCCTAGATAGTTACTAGATATCTCTAATGATCACAGTATTACTGGATCACTTTAGATGGTTCAGGCTTGCCACAATAGTCTTGTCCATCTGAGTAAAAGCCATCGAAATGGTAAGTTACCTCCTTAGCATCTCGCAGAAGACTGAAATGATGATCAGAGATTGTTGTCCTCTCTTTCTGCTGATTACATACAAAATTATTTTATTAAAAAAATTATTTTATTCAGGGACAGTAAGGTAAATTCCTCTTTTAAATTTAGGTGATAATTGCTTAGTTTTCTAATATACATATGTTGAAGAAAACTGTTAAAAGGTAATAGGTACTTCTTTTGTTTAGCCTTGAATAAACTGTTAACCTCAAAGTGCTAACAAGGCTAAATAAAGAAAGGTGTGAGCTTTTAAAATTTGGAGAGACCCCAAATATAGAAATATTACATATTGGCATTGTCCCTCAAATATATTGATAATTCGTTGTTTGTATTTTTGTAGATGTATGGCTCTGTCCAGATAGTTGGCAATTTGTTTCTACATGATAAAAAGTAGATGCTAACAGGACTCAGAACTATCTGAATATCGTTAATAATTGTTACTCATAATTACTGTCACATTTGTAAAAGCTAGAGGATATATAGAGAAAATATTCTCTTAAGCTGATTAATACCAAAAAATATTCTTCTCTTCAAAAAAGTTGAGAACACCGAAGAGATATAATGCTAGAAACACTCCAAAGAGTATATGATCACTGTTTATCCTTTGCGATTCACTTTTAGTGAGTCATGAGTTTTTTCCCATTTTCGTATAATCTGTGGTACTGTATTTTTAAAGATGCAATTGGAAAAAATAAATAAAGATGTAACTGGAGGGCAAATCACACTAGCCACTTTGAGCTATCAGTATTTTAAGGTGTCCATCCATGTTCATATAAGTATATCTTAGTCCCTACTGCTCTGTAATGACATAAGTATCTTTAAGCCTGTGTGAACGTAAATAAAGTACTGTGCTCTGAAAACTTTCAGGATGAGCAAACAGTCCAGGAAGATTGCAGTTCTCAGAAAAACATCTAGTGACACATAGTACTGCAGTGGAAACATGCCGCTGACTGCCAGGCATTATTTTCTGAGATCATTTTTCCATTGTTCTCTTTCTTTTGAGAGAGACTCACTATGTAGTTCAGGCTGACCTTAGACTCACTATGTAATACAAGCTGGCCTCAAATTTGCAGCCATCCTCCTGCCTCAGTGTTCTTAGCTCTGGGATTACAAGCATGTGTCATCACACCTGGCCCCATTTTCTATTATTTTAGCTTCTGTTTTTCTTTGAGATGACTTATTTCTTGCTGATAGCACTTGCTTTATGTGTAGCCTAGTACATTGTGTTCTCAAATCTTATTATAATATAGTCAGTTTATCAAAAATGACAAAGATGTTTGTTTTAAATTCTAAATTTTCTCTTTGCTTCAGTCATTGATATCTAATTCTTATTCTCCAAAGTAGCTATCCCTTTAAAAAATATACAAAGTCTTTAAATATGACAAGGATGAGGTATGTATGTATTTTGTGGTACCAGGGATTGAACTCAGGACCTTGTGCTTGCCCAGCAGGCGCTTATGCCACTGAGCTATATCCCCAGCCCAGGATGAGGTTTTTAAATGTAACAGATTTGATATTTTGGTTACATGGAGTAGTTCTAGAATTGAACATTCAGTAGTTTTTACAAGGGTTTAGTAAACATGCCGCAAGTATAAAATGCATTTAAACATAAAAATATAACATGACCCAACTTTTTATTTTAATGACTAAGTTAACGCAGGGAAGACTTCTGACTATCTAATTCTATATAGAAATCTAAATCTATATAAAAAAGATTATTTTCATTTAAATGATTAATATGTATTCTTTACAAAACAAAAACACCTCACCTGCATGCCTTCCAGCATGTTAGTCATCTGATGATCAGGTAAGAGCCAGACAGGCATCAGGAAATCCAGCAGCAAGTAAAGTAACAGAGCTCACTGCCATAGTATTGCCATGCTAGTGGGCTGAGAGGGAAGTAGCCAAGTAGAAAGCCTCAGCATTCTGGATCTATTTAATGGAGAGGAGCAGGCCTGTTCATCCTAGTCTAAGCCTATTCCCACTCTTACCCAGTGCCAGAGCTGATAAACATGATTTCTGAGATCATTAGAACAGTGGTCACTAAACTTCAAATATCATGTTTAGTAGACAGGAAACTCTCCTAATATAGCTTCTTACCTTCTTATACCTTCAGACTAACCAACTGCAAGATAATTAGTGATAGTATCATCCTTCAAAAAATTTGAGTAACATAACAAACCTTGATCCTATTTTGTTAAAATGAGTATTGTCAGCAGGGTAGTACTTTGGCAAAGTAATGCCATTCAATACATTTTTCTATAGGTTATCCTAAAGCTGTGTCTTAGTCTAAGTTGCCACAAAAAAATACCCTAGCCTGGGCAGCTTAAGCAACACGATCCTAGCACTCACAGTTGGGGAGGCAGCAAGTCCAACATTAGGCCATCAGCATGGGAAGGTTCTTGTTAGGTCTTTCTTCCTCAGATACTGACAGCCATCTCTTCTCACAGTGTGCTCACCTGGCCTCTGTCTAGTATATGTGCCTGAGAAGAAGGGGTTGAGGAAGCCAGCACCTGTGCAACTCTTTGGTGTCTCATAAAGCCACTAATCCCATCTCAGGGGTTTTAACCTCTTGTCCTTTTCTAACCCTAATTGCCTCTTCTCAAAAACCCCAAGTACCATCACACCAAGGGGCCAGGGCTTGAACACAGAATTGGGGAGGTAGTAAAGCTATCCATTCAGTCCATAATAGGATGCTTAAAATGTTTTAGAGTTCTGAAAACCTTTTTGGAATAGTAAACCTTTGAGCTGGCTAGTAACCAAGCTCAAACAAAATTCAAAATTGGACCAGGCTACATAGTGAGTTCAGGGTCAGCACGAACTATACAGTGAGGCCTTGTCTCAGAAAACCAAACCAAACCGAACAACAACAAAAGAACCAAACCACACAAAAACTGGGCCAGACCTGGTGGTGCCGGCCTATAATCCCAGTGCTCTGGAAGCTGAAACAGGAGGGCCTGGACTACAAAGTGAGTTAAAGGCCAGCCCAAACTGCACAGTGAAACCCTGTCTCAAGAATTTTTTTTTTTTTAAAGAAAGATCCTAATAAAATTACAAAAGAAATTACAATCGTCTTTATGCTACAGTGTGCAATTATTATTGCTTTAGGGCTCTGTATGTAAGCTAGAACTGAAAGTGTTTAATAACTGATTTGTTAGGGCTGCTGGTTGGTCTCAAATTATCTTCCTAACTCTTTCCTTTGATGTCTATATTCCTTTTCTCAAAGCAGGAGCAACCATCAGGGTAACAGGTATCTGACTGTTTATTAATCTTACATGTACTTTTCATCTGTCATAGCACCTTAGATGTATGGATCTTTTGACTCATACATCTAAAGTTTCACCCATTTTTTAAAACCACCTGTCCACATTAATAAATTCAACTATCATACTATAAAAACTGCATTTTCTTTTTCTTAGTATTTTGGATTTTTAGGTATCATTTTAGTTGGTCTTGCTAATGCTTTACTATCTTTTGCTTCTTTTTTATGAAAATTAACAAAACTAAACAGTATAGCTTCAAGAAGGTAAGCTTAGGTATATGAAAGCCTAATTGGCAAAAGCAAATGGGTTTTGGTTTTAACAATGGCATAATTAGATGAACACAAAATTTGTTTTTCTTAGCTTTCTTTTGGGAAGTGCTTCCCCTCCCCCCGAGTTTTAGTAGCAATATTCTTTTCAGTAAGGAAGAATTGCTGATTTAGAAAAATGAAAGTCAGTATAATAGGAGGATTATTTAAGTGTCCTTCCAACACCTTTCTCACTAAAAATACCAGCAGTTTTAATGTTGTCATCCCAAATCCTTCTTAGATTGTAAATTAATTTTAACATAATGAATGGTGGTGTGGCTGTCATTGAAATTTCAAATCTAATTGAAAAAAGATTCTGTTCCTATCAAATTATCTTTATTTTTAAATAAAAAATTATATATGAAAATAAAGACATTTAAATATATAGCATTTATGTGGCCTTTTTAATTCTAAGCTGTGAAGAGTGTAACATTTCCTTTCCTATAGTACCTGTGTTATTGACTATGTTATCTCCCATTGAATTTTGTCCCAGACCCAACCAAATGCTCCCATTTTATAGTATTAATCATCAATAACCTAGGGATTGTTGGCAATGTAATTAAAATTTATAATGACTATAATAAATTTTCATATCAAGTTTATCTGCATTTAATCACATACCTTTAATGCATTTTTTTTTTATTTTTTTGCGGTACTGGGGATTGAACTCAGTACCTTGCACTTGCCAGGCAAGCTGAGCTATCTACTGAGCTATCTCCCCGGTCCCTTTAATGCATTTAGAGTACACTTGAGAGTCTCATGATTTTTGGCACAAATTTATTGTCATGTTAAGTTTGGAAAAAAAGTACTATTTTCTTTCTTTTTTGAAAATTAATGAAATGCCAAATAAGCTAATTTGCTCCTGGAATCAGGATGTTAGTTCTTTTCCCCAGCGGTTCCATGACTGGACTCCATGCAACCAGCTTTTGTGAACAGGCATAAAGGGATTTAGCAAAAGAGTGCACACTTTGCATGAGCATAAAGTAGTTCTGCGCCCCTCCTGCTGCTATCAGTTTATAGCAACACCTGGGGGCACAGCTTTCTTTTGATTTTAGAGTTAATATACCAAACAGAAAATAGATTTTTACCCTGGTTTTAAACCATTACTGCATTTGGTTATTAGTAGCGTGCCTACTTTGGAATTTAACAAGATACAGAAGGTCAGTTAAGAAAGTTATCACATTATTCACTGTTCATCCTTCAAAGGAGAAGTTATATTAAAAAATAACTCTGAAAATTTACTTTTCCTTATAGAAAAGGAAAGGATGCTTCTGCAGCTTATGGATATAAATATACTAATAAATTTAACTGTAATCCTTAAAATTGAATGCCTATAGTGACAGTAATTTTAATTAAAATATATTTAAAAGAAAAATGAAACCACATCATCCTCATAGATAGGTGTTGGAAGCCTGTACAGATTTCACCAAACTCCTGACTGTAAATTTATATGTTAAAATTTAAAAGAACTGGGCATGAACAAATTTGTTAATTCCATACAGTTCGCTTACTATTTCAGAATTTGGATGAATGAAACAAGTGTTATCAAATTTCTTTGACACAAAATATGTGGATTTAATTTTAAAAACAGTAGTTTTAAAGTAAAATTTTAGCTATGTTGACTCTGCTTCTATCACCAGAGTAACAAGCTACACAAAGCTACTTTTAATTTCTAAATTTGTGCTTGCCCAAAAAGGGAAAAATAATTCAGACAGGAAAAATAGAGAATATTAATAAATATAAAGTTGATTGTTCAGTGTTCTCTTTCCCTTCCAGGTAAAAACAAATGGAATCTCAACTGTCAAACAAGAATCACTATCAAAGAGTGACCCATTTGAAGATCTGTCATTTAATCTGCTTGCTGTATCAAAGGCTCAGCTATCTGTTCAGATATCACCTGCTCTCACCCCAGACCCAAAGAGGTTGATTCAGTTGCCTTCTGCAACACCAAGTAATGTTAATACTGTGAGTTCTGTAAGCTGCATGCCAACCATGCCTCCAATACCAGCCCGGAGTAAATCCCAGGAAAATATGCGAAGTTCTCCAAACCCATTTGTTACTAGTTTGACCAGCACAAATCCCTTCACCGACAGAACTGCTGTGCCTGGAAACCCATTTAGAGCCCAGTCTCAAGAATCAGAGGCCACTTCATGGCTCTCCAAAGAAGAGCCTGTTACGAATAGTCCTTTCCTTTCTCTGATGCCTCTCAGTCAGAACACAAGCAAGCCTTCATCTTCACATGATTGTTTGAAAGATAGTTTTGACCTGCAAGGCAAATCTACAGTGAAAACAAGCAATCCAAAAGGATGGGTAACCTTTGAGGAAGAAGAGGACTTCGGTGTAAAAGGGAAGTCAAAGTCAGTTGGTCCAGACTCATTGAGTAACCAGCCAAGTGCATTTGATGATGACTGGAGCAAAAGTACACCTATTTCTTGTGTGTTACCATCCCGAAGACCACCTCCACCTCCTGTCCCCCTGCTCCTGCCCAGCACCAGCACCAGCCCTAGCCCTGCTGCTGACCCCTTCAGCACCTTGGCATCTAAGGCATCTCCCACACAGGACTTTACAGAAAGATGATGTGACACTATGGGAAGGGAGAAGCGTTGTTTGTTTGTGTTTGTTTTTTAGTTTTGGCAGGGTAGAACCAAAAGAATTGGGCATTAATTATTCATTATGTGCAATAAGTAACTATTAAGTGCACTGATATCTTCATAAAGTACCACTATTGATGTGAATATAGTTGGAATATGTATATATTGGAAATAAGGACATATCTTTCTGAATATTAACTGGAGTTTTGGTGTGTTTTTGTTCAGACAGTAGGAGACAATAGTAGCCATAAAAAGTGTGTAGAACTACCTTAGAAAGTAGTCCTCATCCAGAAATTCCTTGTCAGTCTCTGAAGAATTTTGGAATGCCCACACAAGTTCTAGCTGACTTTACTGCCAGCTCTTGCGCACTGTTGACAGTTGGTATTTGTGTTTACCAAAGAACTGCCAAAGTTACAGTGAAAGTTTTGAAAGGCATTGCTTTAACAAAAATGTTACATGTGTATGTGTGTGCATATGTGTAATTATCCATACACAAATATACATGCACTTACATATTTACAAAACTCTTAAATAAGTTATATCTAAGGATATAAATTAGACCAGATTTTTTACCTACATGTTTTAACAAAGACCTTTTCAATATTGCATTACCAAAATGATGGCTACCTATGTAATTTGGAATATTTCATTAATTTTATTTCAAAAACTAATATCTCTAGACAAGCAAAATGTTCTACTATTCCACACCCCAGCCCTTCAAATACACATACCCTTGTTACTTTCTACTCCAGGGCCTCCATATGCTTTCCCCTGGGAAGAGGTTCTTGCAGCTGGCAGCAACATATCTTGTGGTCACTGTCATGTGGACATTTAATCTAGTCTCCTTGAGAAAGTACTGTGGTCTTATATATAGGGAAGGCACATACCACCGAGTTCAATGAGAAATGTTACAGCTAAACATATTCTCTTCTTTCTGCACATTTAAGGACTATGTTAGCCATTTCCTTCCCATCCTTTTCTATTTGCTGCTTTTGCTCTAGAACTTTGCTTTTAGCAGGAAAAGCAATCATCCCCAGAGTGCTTTGGACCAGGGACAAACCCAGTGTGGTGTCTTCTCCCCAAGAGGCTCCACAACACATTTCTGATGCTGCTTTAAGTTGTTAGAGGCTATACCTCAAATTAGTGGATTTTGTCTCCTGCACTGCCAGTATGCAACTAATCCCGCTTTTACTAATTTTATGGAGTACACAGAATTTTTACAGAATGTAGTATTTTGATATCATTAAGTAAACCAATTAGAAAACTCCTTGAGCAATAGTTGTTTTGTTGTCAGTTTAAGTTAAAATCATCTCTGCCCAATGATTTATATTAACATTCCATCTATAGATATATTTGTTTGTCCACCTAAATTCCTAGGTCCACGTTTAGCCTTTAAAGATGCACATTGGGAATATATTAAAAAACAGAGTTTGTGGCTAAGAAAATGTTAAGTGTAAAAGCACAGCAAACTGCATTGCACTTAAAATATAAAGTGAATCTATTAGGAAAAAAGCACTTTTCTAAATGCTCAAATGTTATCAAAATATTATATTTATAGAATTAATCCACTATGAACAGCCAGGATTTACTATTAGAAATAACTCTGGTGAGTTTTATATTGTGCTTGGGGGGTTCTGATCATTACAGCGGTAGTGTCTTTTAAACAGCAGTATTACATAAGCAGTGTGATTCAAAAATGTGAATTGTTAAAATTGTGGCTTTAACACCTATGTGATTAGTGCGTAGGTATTTGCTCTCCATTTGCAGAATATTTCATTGTTAGGTTAACTTCACTAGTGCCAATTGCAGTTCTGTGAGCAGTGTTTCCTATTGAGTAAAACTACTGTCTAAAATATACATATCAGCAGCAGCTCAGCCTTTGTCAGGAATATTATATTTGGCAAGTTGCTGAAAATGCACAATGTTATAAAAGTTAAAGGTATGCTGCAAATAACTAGCCATTACTCTGTGTATTATTAAATATCTACCAGTTCTGTTCAAAGCAGAGCAGAAATTAGACACTAAGGATCTCTTTGTGAATTCTTTGTCCTCTATAGTAGATTGCTGTTTATATGTAAGAATTTTATTGCTTATGTGGCATATAATATTTATAATTATATACTTTATAGAAGTACAGTATTAAAATCAGTGGTATACAGATATTCTGTACATATCCTGTGGAATGTGCTGTCACATGAAATAAATATACCTGTCTTTACCATGCTGACTGCTTTGCTCAGAATGGAAGTTTTTTTCTTTATGTGTGTGTGTGTGCATGTTTTTTAATCTATTTGGTACGGGGTCTCACTGTGCAGCTCGGACTTGTAGCGATCCTCCTGTCTCAGCCTCCCCAGCACTGGGTATTATATGTCTCAGTGTATTTTTAATTGGGTTGAAGTTATTTGGCATTCTGTATGCTTCGGTTACCTGAATGTCAGATTGTTTCCTCATATTTGGGAAGTTTTCTGCTATTACTTCTGCCTATATTCTTTTTATATCATTTGTATTAACTCCTTTCTCATTGATGCCTATTAGTCTCACATTGTTTATCTTTGCTTCGTCTTGCATGTGATGGATTATTTTTTCCTGCATCCTAGTTGTTTTTAAGAGATCCTTTGTTACCTTTTCACTAGCTGCACCAGTGTCTTCAAGACATGAAACTCTGTCTTCACTTTCACTCAGACGGTTTTGCAGGCTTATGATTGAGATTTTAAGTTCCTTTATATCTCTTTGACTGTGGTTCATAAGATCTATTTCTTTCCTGTATCACTCATTCAAGGAATCTGTCATTTTTCTAATCTCCTCTATTTTTTTTTTATCAGTGTCTTCTTTAGAAGCAGTTATTAATTCTTTTACTGCAATTTTTTTTCAGATTGGGTTTCCTCCATGTGTTTCTGTATTTGATTCTTTACTTCAGATGCTATGAATTCAGAGATCTCTTTTTTATTTCAAAAATTGATTCTGCTCTGAGTTCCTCTATACCTTAGACTATTTAATGACCTATAGTATATTAGGACTTGAAAACAACATACTGGGTAATACATAAAAGCTGCTCTTTTTCTCCCTAACTGCCTGATGTCCAGCAGCTACCATTCTGAATTATCCAGACCTAGTCAAGTGTTATCCTAGCACTGGGGGAGGCTGAGGCAGGAGGTTGAAAGTTTGAGTCCCACACAAACAACTCAGACCCTGTTTCAAAATTTAGAAAAAGATGGTAGAGCTGAAGGTGAAGCTCAGTAGTAGACCCTGGGTTTGATGCCCAGTATTGATACAGGAAAAATAACCCCGTCTGTTACATGTCAGATGTACCATAAAGGAATCCTATCACCACCACCCTGCTCCCAGACCCCACTGACCCATCCCTCCCAGCACAGCTGCACTTGGGGACTCACTCTCAGCCCTGCTACTGAGAGCAGCCACCACTCCCTGCAGTTCTGCGCTCTCTCAAGCCTTGTTCAAGGCAGGGAGCTACAACCCACCCCCACCCCACCCCTATAAGCCTACAAAAGACCAGATAACCTATAGGAGTTACTGGCCTGGTCTCCAGTGCCAAAGTGCCCCGTTTCTCAGCTTTGTTCTGAAGTAAACCCATTCAAGAAAGCTGAATAATTTAGGTCTTTTTTAGCTCATATCTATTTCTTTTCCTTTTTTCCTAACATCCCGAGTTCGTGATCTCACAACATCGAGGAATAAAATTGCAAACCAAAGGAGGAAGCTGTGAGTTTTATTAAGAAGAACAATGAGATTTCCAGGAGGGATCCCAAGTGAGTGGCTACCAAGGGCCATTGTCAGGAGTACTTTATACAGCAAAATCACAACATAGGTATAATGCGGTCAGACTATAATTAATCTATAGAAAAAAAAATCTATAGGATTATGAGTAGAGTAAAACCATGTTTGCAAGCATAATTTGTTCCAGAAACTTATAATCCAAATTATCAAAGTAAATTCCCCTGTGAGAAATCATGGAAACTGTGATTCATTCCACAACCCAAAAATATTCATATAAAAATGGCGATACTGTAATATAACACAAAATAAAGAAAATACAACATATAAAGACAAACATTCTGCACCTACCTTTGAACACCCTCATTGCTGGTGTGAGGGAGATGAGGAAGGTTACTACTGTGTAGGATGACTTGCAGTATCGCTAAGAGAATCACTGCTACCTACTGACTTGATGGAATCTTTTCAGTGCAACTTTAACAAGGAACCCATGTAATGATACTTGCTTTTGCTTCCTTTTGAGGACATAAGCAAATTTCATTGCTCACATTGCTACAGCTTTATTTGGGGGGTGCCTTTCTACAAAACTTTGCTGTGTTTCCTACATTTTACACATCACCCTAACTTTATTTCAGTTGAGGGAGTCCTCCACCTCCTCCATAAGCTCTTGCTGTTGGGAAACGATTGCCCACAGTTCTGCTTAGAGAGAACCATTGGCTCAGTTGTCACTGTATGATGTTTGGCATCACATACTACTAGTATTGTAAGACACCACTCATTTATCAAGTTAAATTTATTAGAAATGTTCATCTTATGGAACGCTCACAGGACAGTTACTTGCAATCCATGCTTTTACTGTATAGTCGCTTAATACTGACCCAAGAGAAAAATGAGTCAGTCACATTCAGAACAAATACAGGCATATCTGGAAAGGGATAGAGCCAGATGTTCTGGTCCCCCCCCCACCTGCTCATCTGATGCCTGTCTGGGCCCACTGGACCAGGTGGTGTTTATTACAGTATAATCTCAAGTGGCTGTTTATCTCTAGGGAAGCATGCAGGCCTACCTACCTAGCTCCATCTTGAGGCCTGGCCTTCTCTAGAGTCACCTCCAGCCTCAGTCTTTCTGTGTCTAGTCTTCAGGGCTGACTTTCCTGAGTGCCCAGTCCCTCTCACCTGCATATTAATTTCTATCACAATTGTCTATATAGTAACTAACTTCCTATCTAACTTATCTATAAAGAATTATTTAGACCTGGAAGGTCATCATTGGATTGCCCAAAGAAATAGGGAGAAATGGTCCTAAGATGATCTAGAAAGGCAAGTACCTAGAATACTAAGATAAAACTGAACACAAAGCACAAGAACACACCAAATGCTATCTGTGTGCTTTGTGTTCAGTTTTATCTTAGTTGTGATAGAAATTAATATGCAGGTGAGAGGAACTGGGCAGAACTCATTTGCCCAGCAGTATTTGCCACATTGTAGCCCATGTTTTGGGTGTTCTGAGGGGCTTAGCCTTGCCATCGCCTAAACTCTCAAAGTGTTGATCAACTATTCACTTTCTATGTATTTTGCAATAGCTGAGGCCAGTCACTCACATGGAGGAAGTCTAAGGTTTATGTAACATTCCCCAGGGGAGGAGTCTACTGCAAGTCTCAGAGGCTCTAATAAGATATCCACTCTTCTTGTTGTTCCGGATTTTTTTGAGGCAGTTTCGCTTTGTAGTTCTGGCTGTCCTCGAACTAGCAGTGCTCTTATTGCCTTGGCCTCCCAAGTGCTGACTGTGTGCCCACCAGGGCCGGCTGCTCTATTTATCTCTGTTTCCTCTGTCACACTGACCGCTACGCCGGACCAGCTTACCCTTCGATAAGAATTTGTGAAAAATTACCTCGCTGAATACTTTGGGAAGGGCCGCTTTCGCAGTAGCTTCTTGGGCTACCCTAAATATGCGAATGTGGCTCAGATTGCACAAATAAGTACTGGCACTTGCCCTATCCCCTGGATCCCGAAAATCAAACCAGCGATGACAGCAGGAAACAGCGATCCAGCATCCGGCGAGGCTCGCCAGCTCCAACTTTCCCCAGACAGGAAGCAAGGAGGAGGCGTTTTCGGAAATGGGAACCGTGAGCGGCGGAAACCACTTCTAGACTCTGGGGGTGCTGTGAGGAGGCTGCTCCAGAGCTTGCTTTCTTTAGTTTCCACCACCGCATTTACTCCCGACCTAGCAACACCCGGCCTCAACTCGCTAATCTCCCTGGGGGGAATCCCGGGCCTCAAGAGACCTGATGGCGCTTTCGGCGCGCGCCGCGCTGGTGGTGTGTTTGCGTCGCCTAGACAACAGTCACTTCCGCGAGCGGGACCGGGAGTTCCGGCTGGGTGTGGATTGCTGTTGAGGCAGCGGTTAGGTATAGGGGATGGACCTCCGCGTCTCAGCGCCTCTGCTTTCCCGCCCTCGGATGCTGACCTAAGCTGGCGTCCCTACTGACGCTGTTTAACTGTTGTCCTGGCAACCCCCACTTCC